GATTTAAGGCAGACATGAGAATGGAGGGAATAATGGAGGAAAGAACGGAATTAGACAAAATTCTATTAGAACCAGAAGGAGGAAAAATTTCAAAACTATATAAAATCTTAAAAGAAAGGGATTTAGAACTATTGGCTAACATGGCTGAGGCTTCTGGGAGCTGAAGTCCCTCGGCCCTTAAAGGGGAAAGGTTGCCTACCCCTGTACTAGACAATCTTTCACAGAAATAAAATCCATTTTCATGATATGAATACCTATTTTCATTTCTTATATAAACTACTGAAACTTCCATTAACATCTCTTTGGTGTTTGATGCCTTTATAGATTCCAGAAATTTGTATTTTTTCTATGTTTCCTGGGGGAAAAATAGCACACAAATCATTTAGAGTGAAGTGAGAAGAGCTCAACTTATCAAAAACTTAAGACTCTTCAGGTACATTATTGCTTTCTATCTCTGATGGTTCTGTTTCATTTTTACTACCTAGGTAGTCCAAAAGACAGACAAAAATGTCATTTAAATAAATCATGAACATGGAAGATGATTGTTCTATACTCTCAGTGGAGCAATGGAAGTGGAGTTATTATTCAGATTAAGCTTCAATTTATTTTTATTCCTTTCATTTGTGAATTTATGATGATTTCTAATAATAATAATAATAATAATAATTTTTATTTAATACCCCGCCCCTCTGAGCACAATCAGGGCGGCTTACATGATAAAATTCTGGATTTCTGGTCCTAATACTGAACTGCTGGTGATAAAAAAGGTTGCATGAAGAAAAGTGAAGCATCCTAGTGAGGGAAGAAGGAGTAAACAGTATAATTCACAAAATGGTTTTAAAATTATTGCTGAAAGAACAAGACAATTATTCAAACATAGTTCTTAGAAAATCTGTTGTCATTAATTGTTTTTAAAAAAGAACTAGTTTTTTTGGGGGAAGGATGATAACAGTTCGGTTTTATGCAAAACATGAACATGCATCTCAGAAAACTTCTGCATAGTGCTTCTGATTACATTAGAAATTTACACTTTGGCTGCATCTGCACTGCAGAAACAATGCAGTTTGACAATGCTTTAATTGTCATTGCTTAATGCTATGGAACCTGGGGATTTGTAGTTTTGTGGGATATTTAGTCTCCTCTGTCAGAGAGCCCTGCTGCCACAACAAAGTACAAATCCCAGGATTCCATAGCATTGAGCGATGACAGTTAAAGTAGTGTTAAACTGCATTAATTCTGTAGTGCAGATGGCACTTTTACATGGAAATGAGTGAGAAGAAATGACTAAGGGCCAATATAGACGGTCTGTTTGGGGTGGCTCTCAGCCACCCCTGGGAGTGGCAGATTGGGGCGGCAGCAACCATACACTGTGGCCCTGATATTCCTTTTTGCCACCCCCCAAAAAGCAGGAAAATGCTGCTCCGTTTGGGCGTGGCAAAAGGTCGCCCTTTCAGTGGCCTCCACAGCTTCTTTGCACTCTTTTTGCGCAACATGTGTGCATGCTATGCCAAGAGGATGTCCTGATGCCACGCACCATGTGGATGGGCACAGGGTGTCAGGACAGCATCAGGGTGGAATCGAGGTGGCTGGCATGTGGCTGCCCCACCCCAACTCCACCCCCAGGCCAGCCCTTTGTGCTGGTCTGCATTGGCCCTAAGTGACTTTCTGTTATTTGTAAGACTCTTCCTTTTATAGCCAAATAAAGTAGATCCCTGATTTCACATGCAGTCTATTTTGAACTCAGCATTCCTGCCACCCCTCTAGATTCTCAAATATGCTCTTTTCCTTTATTGCCTTTTCATGAAGCCTCTGGGAGTGGGAATTTACTTTTTAAATAGATTAGAAACCCCTCCCATGGCTTTACTTAACTTTAAAAAACCTATTTCAAAACCAGAAATAAATTTTAGTCCATTTCTGTTTGAAGAAAAAGGCATTTTAGACTACTTCAGTAATCAATACAAATAAATAGAAGTTGAGAACAAAAAAGAACAAGAACTATCTTCCTTAATATTCAAGAAATCAAATGGAAATTTAAACCAAGGGTAGGGATGTTCTATGACCAAATAGGGAACACAATAAATAAAAAAGATGGTGAAAACAATAACTGGAATGATCATATAGAAGAAATGAAAGGATGAAATATTCATTTGAAGATGAGCCATATGAAGAAGATAATTCATTTTTATAGTACAAAGTGAAAATAATGGAGGGCACCAATGAATTCCTAAAGGAAATCAACATCACTTTATTGATACTGCATGGTGCAGATTGCCCATGGATGTTCAGCCTGCCTTGGGAGTGAGCCATATGGATAATGGGAGTTTCAGGGCCATTGCAGACCAGCCCAAAGTATCGGTCTGGGGCAGAGTTGGGATAGTGGAGCTGCAAGCCAGCCGGCCCAACCCCATCCCAATGGCATCCTGACACCTCACGGCCATACACATGGCATGCGACATCAGGGTGCCCTTCCAGCGCAGCATTTAAACACGCTGCACTGAAAGGATGCTGAAGAACCATGGTGCTGGCTCTTAGGGCGGCCTTTGCCACTCCTAAAAGGGGGGGCAGCAAAAAGGAGGATCAGGGCTGCGGCATGGGGTTGCTCCAGCTCCGATCTGCTGCTTCTTCAGGAAGCTCTGTGCTGCCCCAAACAGCTGGTCTGTTTCAGCCCACAGCTAAATTTGGAAAACCCAGGAATGGCCTGGTTTTAATTCTCCAGCTGCTCAGTACCTGTTGCTCAAAATCTTCTGGGAAGATCCAGAGCCCTCCTCATGCCACAGCAGCTGTCTGCACACTTGTCTCACTGGACCTGAGAAGCCAACCACCCATGTTGGCAGTAGCAGATGTACTGGACACCCCAGAGGCAATCCCTTGCAGACAACTATGGGCCAGGATACTCCAGGCACTCTTGCTGTATCCTGGCCAGTATAGACAAGGAGAAGCTTCTCAAACTTTCAGAATGAGAATATTTTTACAGCATCTAGGAAAATGACTATACAACAGTATCATGAGAAATGGTGTGGCCATTTGGGGAGGTCCAAAGGGCCAGGAGGGGATCCCAGGAAAGCTGTAGTAGATCTCATAGTCAGGAGTTCTTGGATAAATCTGGAAACATAAGCCAATCAGGATCACCCAGGGTCTGATGAAATCAAATTTTGGGAGTACCATGAAGAAATGCAACCACTTATGGAAAAGATTATAGTGGTTTAAATCTTAACTAATTTCTCAGCAGAACCAATTAGTAATTTTTGCAATATTCTTCCTGCTGTGAGAAAGTTTTTGTACATTATTATTGGAAATAATCTTCTAGCCTGTGGAATTTCACCTGTGAAAATCTTCCTGCTTCGCTGTAAAAGAAGGACTTTTAACTGATGTGTGCTATATTTTTATTAGAGAGGCAGCATAATGTAATATTTTGAGTGTTGGACTAGGATCCTAGAATACCGGGGTTCAAATCCCTGCTTGGCCGTGGAAACCTACTGGGTGACTTTGGGAAGACATATCCACTTAACCTCAGAGAAAGACTAGGACAAACCTCATGATAGGGTCATCATAAGTCAGAAATGACTTGCAGGTGCACGATAACAATGTTTTAATTGGTTTATATAACCTAAAAAAGCCAGCATAGCATAGTGGTTCAAGTGTTAGACTATGACTCTGGAGATCAAGGTGCAATTCCCTCTGGGTGACTTTGGGTGAATCACACACTTTCAATCCCAGAAAACCCTATGATAGGTTCTCCTTAGGGTTACCATAAGTTGAAAAGAACTCCCGTACAATCCTCCCCGCGCTCTTCGGTCCTCCGGGAGGAATTTGCTACAGCCTCAGAGTTCGAGGCTTGTGGCTACCTCCCAGGGGGCATTCTCTGTCATCGCGCCTAAGCTCTGGAACGACCTGCTGG